CTGTATGTATGTTGCTGTTAAATATGGAGGGTACCTGCCCCAAAATATGTTTTGCATTGAGTACTTTAGACGGCACATAATTTCCCTCCAACTCATGCAGTGAGTTAACTAACCGATGGCAGAGGCTTACAATTTAAGGACAATTAGATCAAAGCCATGTACGTGTTCCGCTAAATTATAGAATATTTTAACTGAAAAACTTCCAGTCAGTAACTAGTTGACCATATAATTCACTCTATTTGTGGGCATGACTGCATAAGATGAATTTAGAAAAATCCATATAATGTAGCCAGAATGACATTTGTGAAAACGCCCAAGTTTCTGTCGTACATCTTGCCGTCTTTGGGACAGACCCGGTCTTAATTTTCGGTAGCACCTCCACTAAGCCCGACTGTACATGAGGGGAATGGTGGCATGACCTGCGGTTTCTCAAAAAGGGGACTCAGAGTTTATTTGGGAATTTTCCTCTTAAGATGGCGACACTGATAGGGCTTTTGAGTTAAACTAACATATGGAGCAAATTGAGGGGTCTCTTGATTTGATTTAGCTTCTCTCTGTCATTACTCATGTGGGGTAGAGATGTTTATGTAGGGTGGTGACTTGTAGAGGAAAATAGAGCGAGTGGAGGACATGGACGTTCTGTGTTTGTGTTTGTTTATTCAAGTGGATTCACGTGTTTATTTTCCAGTTTTGACGGTGCTAATAGCAAAATTTAAATCATATTTTTGGATTTTTAAAAATGGAAACAACATATGTGTTGCTGTTGCACTTGGACAAATACATCACAAATATGTATGCAGTAAATATTTAAACACACACATATTAGAATAAAAGCACCAGCTGAGCAATGTAGTGCTAGTTTTTGCTTATGAGAGGAATTTTGTACCGTGTGACGGAGGTCAGGTTATCAGTTCCTTCACTTTTATTGTGGCCAATGGTTTACAGTAGTTTTTTGTTTTTTTAATTTAAAACACATGTGTTGCTTCTCACACAAAAGAAAAGAAAATAAGAAACAGGACAGAATTAGATTTTTTCTCACACTCTTCTGTCGTTGGAAGACTCAGGACAGCCGTGGCTCTTTGGTTATGTCCCAACTGGAAGGTTGGGCTGAATCCTCACGTCTGTCACATGTTCGTAAATCCAAAAGTAACAAGGTACCTCTTAAATTAGATGAACATGAGATCTAGATATACAAACCGGATTCCAAAAAAGGTTGGGACACTAAACAAATTGTGAATAAAAACTGAATGCAATGATGTGGAGGTGCCAACATCTAATATTTTATTCACAATAGAACACAAATCACAGATCAAAAGTTTAAACAGAGAATGTATCATTTTAAGGGAAAAATATGTTGTTTAAAAATTTCATGACATCAACAAATCCCAAAAAAGTTGGGACAAGGCCATTTTTACCACTGTGTGGCATCTCCCCTTCTTCTTACAACACTCAACAGACATATGGGGACAGAGGAGACCAGTTTCTCAAGTTTAGAAATAGGAATGTTCTCCCATTCATGTCTAATACAGGCCTCTAACTGTTAATCGTCTTGGGCCTTCTTTGTCGCACCTTCCTCTTTATGATGTGCCAAATGTTCTCTATAGGTGAAAGATCTGGACTGCAGGCTGGCCATTTCAGAACCCAGATCCTTCTCCTACGTAGCCATGATGTGATTGCTGCAGAATGTGGTCTGGCATTATGTTGTTGAAAAATGCAGGGTCTTCCCTGAAAGAGATGACGTCTAGATGGGAGCATATGTTGTTCTAGAACCTGAACATAGTTCTCTGCATTAATGGTGCCTTTCCAGACATGCAAGCTGCCCAGGCCACCAGCACTCATGCAACCCCATACCATCAGTGATGCAGGCTTCTGAACGGAGCGTTGATAACAACTTGGGTTATCCTTGTCCTCTCTGGTCCGGATGACATGGCGTCCCAGTGTAAATGACTCCTGGCCCAGTGCAAACGGCTGAGCTTGTGGAGCTTGCTTAGAAATGGCTTCCTCTTTGCACTGTAGAGTTTCAGCTGGCAGCGGCGGATGGCACGGTGGATTGTGTTCACTGACAATGCTTTCTGGAAGTATTCCTGAGCCCATGCTGTTATTTCCTTGACAGTGGCATTCCTGTTTGAGGTGCAGTGACATTTAAGGGCCCGGAGATCACGAGCATCCAGTAGAGTTTTACAGCCTTGGCCCTTACGCACAGCGATTGTCCCAAATTCTCTGAATCTTTTGATGATGTTATGCACGGTTGATGAAGATAACTTAAAAGTCTTTGCTATTTTACGCTGGGTAACACCATTCTGGTATTGCTGCACTATCTTTCTGCACAACAATGGTGGAATTGGTGATCCTCTTACCATCTTGGCTTCAGAGAGACACTGAAAACCTTATCGGAGCCTGTCTACAGTTTGTGATTGAGACATTTTGGTCTAATTTAATGAGCATTATGTGTAAATATGAAAAAGAAACACACTGTAAGCGTTACACAGTGCATTGCACAGCCATGTGCTATTCCTCTACACAGTGCATGGCTGTCGGCTATACACTGTTTGCATTGTGCTGCAAGCCATATGATTTCATATGGTTTCTTTCCCCATTTCACCTTTGCACACATACACACGCACGCACACACTCACCCCTTCTGAGATACACACAAACAAGATAGTATGCATAGACTCGTAAACACTCCCACCGACAGTCAACTTGACCACCAGCCCATTTCTAGATCGCTCTGGGACAAGCTGCACTTTATGTAAATAGTGCTTTAAAAATCCCATGGAACCAGTGGATGACATATTGGCATTTTGGAGGAGACACTAAAGGTCTGTTGTCTAAGTTTTGCTTCCAATTTTTCTATAAGGGTGTTTTACATTTTTAAGCATTTTTATTCTTTTCCTTAAGCGTTGTAAATTTTTGTTTGCGTTCCACGGGTTCATTCTGAGCCGAGTGTCGCAACAAAGATCTCATTATGGCTTCAGAATGATTGTGAAGATTCTCAATTCTAGTTTGAACGCAATTGAAAAATCCCTGTAGTAAAACATGGCAGTGGAAGTATCATGCTGTGGAGGTTCTGTTTTCTTAACAGGGACAGGGAGGCGTGTCAGCGTGGATGGGATGATGAATGCAGCTGTATGCAGGAAGAAAACCTGCACGAGTTTGCAAAAGGTTCAGGAATTGAATACAAATGACGCTTTTGAAATTTTTATTTGCAAAAACAATTGAAAGTGCATCCTCTATTTCCCTCTTACTTCACATTTGTGTTGCACTTTGCATTGATCTAGCGCAAAATGTCCAAAATGTAAAACATGTCCAAAGAATATTAATACCTTTGCAATCTACTGTAGATGTTTAATGTCATTCAGACCTTTTAATATTTATGTTTTGTAGTTTAGGTGATTATTGCCCTCTCAGCTTCTTGTTAACAAGCCCAACAGCATGTTGGCCATGCAAGCCTGGCTCGTAATACATGCTGATAAAGCCGAAAACCACAATCCCCTTTTGTCACACTGTGTAAATAAAGAAAGAGCCCTCATGGCAGCCAATGAGCGGCTTTATTTTTATCGCCAAAAGCTCTGTTTATTTTGAGTCTCGACATCTGAGGCGACTACAGAGCCTTTCCTCTGGACTCGGTGATGCCTCTGGAGGAACAGAAACGCAAAATAAGGACTGCGTAGGGTTTTCTTTCCTTCTGGTTTGTTTTCCAATCGCCCTTCAAACTGAAGTGGGGTTTTGGCTGCTTTGCACATGGTGTGCTGGAAGGGATGGACGGAGAAGAAAATAAAGGAATACTACGACTGCAGTGTGCATTTGGTCTTCTTGGCCATAGTTGTGCCTATTGCTGCTGTGCTCAATGTTAGTGGCAACACAGAGGTTAGTGGAGGTTTTCCTGGCAGGTGGTTATTGTGGCTGGATCTTTATTTTTGTTTTGGGCTAGCATCACAAAACAAATTTTAGCAACATCCATTCCACTAATGCGTTATTATTTTTAAATTGGAGCTGTTAGAATACCAAATTGCAATTTGTCATGAAACCATTATTACATCAATGACTTCCTTGTTAATGCAGTGATTAGGAGTAGGATTCTGATCATTAATGACAAATTTAGTCTCCATGCACACGCTAAGCTGCTTTTTTAAGAGCCAGATATCTGGCATCCAGTCTTCAAGACCAATAAACGTGTCAGCTGAGCTCCGTCTAATAAATCTACGGCCGTGTTAGGCAACGACGCTGCTCTAGAATGCACCCTGCATCTTGTAGTTGCTCTGTTTTTAATTGTGATTTGTGTCTGAGAGCTTCACTTGGCGCTGTTGTGCTTGTAAATTATTTCTCCTCTCAATTTGTTAAAGCGTTACACCACTTACCCTCCTGTTGCGCTACGCAACGGGATGAAACATTTTCTCATAATCGAGTCGAGGAGATCCTCCGGTGACCCCGGGGTCAGGGGCAGTTGGCTGCGCCGAGCAGAAGCCAATACGGAACGAGCACCGAAGAGGAACCAAAACTCAATAAGCGCGGCAACGAGGGGCGGGAGGGAGTTCAAGGCTGCGCCTCGTTGTGATGGAGGCCACGGTGAGCGCTCCAGTGGCTGCTGGAGTTTTGATGCTGTAACGTGAAACGGCTGGCGCGGACGGGGTCCACAATTCCCCTCTTTGTCTGGTCTCCACCGCAGCGTCACCCCTCTCTCCTCTCCTCAGCAGACCCTCTCAGTGGCCGAGCTCATCATCTCCGTCTCTGTCTGTTTCCCCCACGACTGCCACCCATTTCGTCGTCTCAGTGACTGGTTTCAACTCCCACCCAGTCGAGCGTGACCGCTTTAAATTCGTGTCGTTCTCTTTTCTCACCACCTGATGTCTCGTCTCATAATTTCACCAGTCCGACGCATTTTAGCACTCATGTCTTTTCTGTGTTGTTTAACTAATATCTTGTGAAACCCGCCTCATCGTAATGAAACACCCAGGTATCCCTTTTCCCAAAAACTCTTTCTTCTCCTCTCTTTACAGTCTCCGGTCGTATCCGTCGGTTTTGCTAAGTTTCATCCGAACTTGGTGGTAGGAGGAACTTACTCGGGACAGATTGTTCTGTGGGACAACCGGAGTCACCGCCGGACCCCGGTGCAGAGGACTCCCCTCTCTGCTGCAGCACACACTGTAAGGCCCTTTTTTTTTTTACATAAGACACTGTTAAAAACAAGAAAATACAAATGTTAGATCCCGCTATGTCTCTAAGCTCCATTTCCATCGATCAGTGGATCCAACAATTGTGCAAACTGGAATTATGAAAATAAATTTTATAAAGTTAATACACTAATTTAAAAAAAAAACTCAAGTTTTTCAATAAAAAGTCAACGGTTTTTTTTTTTGGGTGTAGCAAAGATGACAAGAAGAGCTTGTTGGTGCTGCGTACTTTTGTACTGACTGAACAAACTCATTCATGTTTTATTCTAATTGTTTCAATTGTGAAATTGTTTTTTTTGTTTTTTGTTTTTTACATTAGCAGAATATTAAAGTTTTGCGCACATTTCTAATGGAAACGCAGCTACCGATCAGTTCAGCCTCGGATCTCGGCAAATACTGCTCAGGATCAGACTTATCAGTTTCTTTCAGACAAGAAAACATTGGTATTAACTAAACATTTGCCTGGAAATATTAAGATGTTGATATGAATGTGCTCCCGTACAATGCTAGTTGAAGCGAAATAGACAGTTCAACCTTCAGGTGCAAAATTCATTTAGGAAATCATATAAACAACAATAAATGGCAACAAAAAAAGTCAATAGTTTAGAAAAAAGCAAGAAAAAAAGCAGAACATACAGTAAATGTATTGCAAAACAATATTTTGTGAACTTTGCATAATTACTGTAGACCCAACAAAACCAGATTTATGCAAACACTACTTTTTTTCCTGAAATGTTGTCTTCTACTAAATATGTTTTCTGACTTTTTTTTTGTATTACAAAATGTTCAGTTTTGTAAATGTCATATTTTGCATTCCAGGGTGAGTGTACAACTTGTTGTGAGAGGAAAAAAAGAAAAAGAGAAAACACATCGAACAGATTGCCCAGTTTTAACTCCAGTGAACTTGCTCACTCTCAACAAATTACCAATGCATGGACACAAGCAGCAAGTCCTTTTATAGTCTTAGTCATGTAGCCCCTTGCATTGCCACATGCCTTCTGTATGGTAGTCTTGAAGAGGTTGCCGCTCTTGTCCCCTCCAGTTAGTGAAGTCTAGCTTACTAGCATGGTGCTGATTGCTGAATGGGCCCTTTGTGCAGCCCAGCAGACAAATCAATTACTGGCCAGTAATGATATAATGGCTTCACACACTCATGGATTTGAACAGCAGCACATGTCCCAAGCGTAAAGGGATTGAAAAGGACCACTGCACTCTGGCATGCAAGTTGCCTGCCAACCCTCTGTGCTTTTGGTCCTTAAAGTATCTCATTATGTCATGTGTTTCACTGTTTAACTGTATAATAGGAATAAGGGTGTTTTAACAAATTTCATATTATTAACAGCAAATTTTGAAGGTTCAGAAAACGGTTGTGGTTTTGTCAGCCTTTCGCAATTAGGAATCGTCTGAATATTTAACACACAGGATGTCGGATTGAAGAACACTTAAATGCTTCCAGGCAAAACGATTTTCCGGGATTTTGTTTTGTTTGCTAGGTGGATTTGTCAGAGATGTTACTTTAATGAGAACTGTCGTAACTGCAGCACGTTGTTTCGCCCCGCGCCCGCGTTCATGTATGTTGCCTCAACAGCACCCGGTATACTGCGTGAACGTGGTCGGCACCCAGAATGCCAACAACCTGATCACCGTGTCTACGGACGGGAGGATGTGTTCGTGGAGCCTCGACATGCTCTCTCAGCCTCAGGTAGTGAAAAATGTCACTCGTCAGACACGCGATTCCCACAACCTGCCGGAAGGACTTGATGTTAAGATTTTTACAGGGAAAAGCTGTTGTAGCTCAGTAGTTCTTAGATGTTAAAATGGAGCAAACATGTTTTTTTTTTGTACTATTATTATTTTCCCCTAAAAGATTTCTTAAAAACTGTCAGTTATTGATATAAATCATGACTTTGTGTGTATTTGAAGGCTTTGAAGTGCATAGTTTACCAACTCCATGACCTCCCTGTTTGTAGGAGACCATGGAACTCGTGTACAACAAATCCAAACCCGTGGCGGTGACGGGTATGGCTTTCCCCACGGGGGATGTCAACAACTATGTGGTGGGGAGCGAGGAAGGCACCGTGTATACCGCATCCAGACATGGCAGGTGGGTGAAATGTTTCGTGCCTTCATGCAAAGATTTGGTCAGTTTACCAGCTAACTAAATATAGATAAAATATTTAGAGGTAAACTCATAACTTTAATGTTTTTTAGCCAGACCTCTGATGACCATTTTTAACAGCCGTTCAAAACCCCCGCTTTTTTTTTTTTTTTTTTTTTTTTTTGAGCAGTAAGCACATGCCTAAGCCCTAAGACGTCATGACAATCACAACACTCTTCAGTGTGGAAGGAAAGGGAAGAGGACTCAGTGTTAGCTATGAGATGTATGAAGTTATTTAAAATGAATATTTTCTCTGTCAGCTGTTCATTCTGGCTCCTACAAGGTAAAAGTTTACATTCTCTAGGAAACAGAGTCTGCTGTTTATCATTACATTAGCGATGCTAATGAGCTGGTTGTTATCTATGACGCTAAAAACAGCTAATAATCCACATGTGTTGTCAGTTTATCTAAGAAATAAAACTGTGTTACAGCAAATCTGACCTCTTAGGAATGAATTATGTCCATGAAAAGCAAGAAAATATATATTTTTATGTTAAATATAATTATTATAGAAATCGGTATCCACTGGTCAGAACGACAGCAAAGTCCAGATTGAGGTTAAACATAGGAGTGTAGTACAAGGAGAGAACCAAAATAATAAAAAAATGATTTGAAATGTAATTATTTTCTCAAATTAGACACATTTAGGCCTGTTTTTCCTCTTTTTGTCACTTTTTAAATACATATTCTGTGGATCAGTGTAAGGAGAAATCATCAGCGGCCGGCATGTTTACACTTATTTCTTTATTTATTTGATTTTTATTCTGGTTGTGGTTTTGACAAGATCACATTCACAAGAGCAAAAATGATGAACATAGCAATAGTGCACGTTAATTAAGAAATTTGACTTAATTAAATAAGCTAATGAAATATGAACTAGAAACTGGTTTAATAAGAAGATTTCACTTTTTCTTTCAAGAGAAATTAGAATTGTGCCAAAGGAATCAAAATGCTCTTAATGCTTCATAAGTTGGCTGATTCCTTAATAAATTGATCCCAAAGTCTCTTAGTGTTCTAAAAAAAATAAAAAATGCTGTTCAATTTTTAAAACTAATCATCAACGTTCGTTGTCGTCTTCTCCAGTAAAGCGGGCATCTGTGAAATGTTCGAGGGCCACCAGGGGCCGGTTACGGGAATCAGCTGTCACAGTGCAGTGGGCACTGTAGACTTCTCCCACCTCTTTATTACATCTTCCTTCGACTGGACCGTCAAACTCTGGAGCACCAAGGTACGCCGTGTGTGAGTCGATGTGTGTGCGAGTGTGTGTGTGAGGGAGGGAGAAAATGGCAGAGGGAACAGATGTGTGGGGGGTTGATTGTGGTCTCTGAAAGGTTACTTAGAGGGACTCCTGAGAGAATGAGGGGAGGGAGTTGAGTACATTGGATGAACAACTATTTGAAAATCAGTCTTTCTCTTGCTATTTGTGTGTTTGCGTGTGTGTGTGTGTGTGCGTGTGTGTGTTGGAGTAAGCTCTTTGCGATGTGTTGCATATATTTACTGTGTGAGTGTACTGTGAAATTAATCAGCAGAAGCCAGGAACTCTGATGACGGTGACCTGAATTCCTCCTCCCAGACGTTGTTATGCTCCAGGGCTCAGAGCTGTCCGGAGAAACACTGATATGGCATTTTCTCTTAGTAATAGTAAAGAAGGGATGCTACGTTTGTGCTTTATAGATTTTAATCGGATAAGATTCCTAAATGCGTTACAAAAGCACCTCTTGTAATTGTTCCTCCAAAATCAGCTAACACAAACACAAACCAAACCTTTTTGTTCTTTATGTTTATCATGCTAAAATGAAATTCAACAAGGTAGGCAAATGTAAAAATATGTATTGCAAAAAAAAAAGAAAAGAAAACTCCAAGAAATTTTATTCTCAAATTTATGAATGTAAAGTCACACAAAATCAAGTTTCCTAAAAGATTTAAAGATTGAAATGAGGGTCATTTAAGTGGTAAGCATTATGTTTTCTATGTGAAATTGTCTGCCGATAAATAACTTTGCCATAGTGTTCAGTCCTCCTGAACCTTTTTACATGTTTGCCACATTACAACAACATGTATGTATTATGTTGGGAGTTTATGATAGACTGACATGAAGTCAGACACAAAATTATCCATGGCTTTCAAAACTTAAAAAAAAAAAAAAAAAGTAGTAGAAAAGTGTGGTCTATATTTTATATGCAACCTTCCTGAGTAAAGAATGTTCTGCAATTGCATCTGCAAATCTTTTTTTGGTATGTCTCTACCAGCTGGGGATTGAATCCAAATGTACACCGCACTTTTCAAATTAAAAAAAAAAAAAAGAAATGTGAAAACCACCTTCTGACTTTTTGTTGTTGCATAAATTTAAATCTAAACAGAATATGCAACATGTGTGCATGTGGAAAAAAGGCTGTGAATACTTTTGAATAGCGCTGCAAGTCAGGTAGAGTCTACACATGCTTTAGAGATGTATACATAACGTGCGTCTTAGTCTTGGTCTTCGTCGCTTGTTACGTTTTGAGCACTTAACTTGACAAACGCGCAGAAGAAATGCTTTGCTTCTGTGTTCACCGATGTGTTTGTCAAAGTCCCCCGCAAAGTCCACCGAAAGCTCTGACAGGACGCCGCTGGCGCATTCAGAGAATCAGGAGGTGGGCACTCCTCCTCTCGGCGCGTTTGAGTGACCTCGTCCACTCAGGGCATTTGCTTTCCCTCCAAACGAACGCGACGAGTTCCATTTGGCGGCAGTGAAATCCAAACAGTCACTGCTGTTGTCGGAGAGAGGCTGGATAAGAGAAAAGCTGGTTAAAACACTGACAGGACATTTTTGTGCTACTGAGACTGAAGTTTTTTTGTTCTGGGTGATTTTACGTGTCGCACGGAATTACTTAGAGAAATAAGAGGAACAAAAGATACTGATTATAGAAGTCAGTGGGAGGAAGCAGACTTGGGATTCTAAGTTCAAATTATTGGTTTAGAAAAAGCTGATGTAGACTTTAAAAAAAAAGAAACCGTTAAGAAAATCATCTTTATAAAAGCTTGCTGAATATGATAAAACACATAATGAATTTCCCATTATACCTACAGCCCGATTCTGGATCATGTTTTACTTTTCATACTTGGCTGCGACAGGCCCATAAAGCATTCTGATGCATTCTGGCGCAGGTTTGCAAGCAGCCAGTCCATAAAGCTTGAGCAAAGAGCCCTGTGACACATATTAAAACATTTCTGCGGATTTTCATCAGGAGAGCGTGTTATTTTTTTCAGGATTTGGAAATTCCCTCTCCTTTGAGGGCCACCGCAGGAATGCATGTCTGTCTCTCTTCCAGCATAACCCGTGTTTGGTGTGTGGGCAGGCACTTACCTGGAGGTGTGAAGGTGTGTGGCTACAGACACACCGCATATGTCTCTCATATATCTTAAGAAGGCAGTTTTGTGCCTGGGCTGAAATCCCCTGGAGGTCGGCCTTCAATCCTCCGGTCGCTCACGCACGCACACGGACGCACACACACACACACGCATGCGCGTACTCGCAGATCGACTGAGAATTGTTTTCGTATTGACTCGCACGTTTGCCCTCACGGTTCAAAAAGGCCGTCGTACAGAAGCCTGGTAATGTTTTTACTCTCAGCGGTGCAAATATTGTGGTTAGCGAGACCGTTCTGCGCCGGGCCAGAGTTTGAAGATGTCGCGACAGCTGGGAGTAGGTTTATGATTGTGCATAACTTGAACCGCCTTGCTCTCTTGACCCCAAACCCGGCGTCTACTAAGTGATTGGATGAAGTATAATAATTCCACTTCTGCTCTCTGAAGAAGTTAATTAAAGGCCTGCGTCACTGTCAGTTCAGGTGATTGTTGAAGAGTGTGGATCAAGTCTGGAGCTGAGCGTCGGTAGGTGTCTTTGGAAAATAAGATTATAGCAGGGGTCTGTCCCGGTGTGCTCTCACACAGCACAGAACACGAAAGGATTGTAATTAGATGAAAGTGTGTCAGTGCGGCCGCAAAACCTGGAATTAGCTTAAACCTTAATAGACACGGTGAACCTGGGTAACAATACTGAAAAGCAAGAGTGTCTCCATTACGCTGTACAACAGATGTAATCTTTCACTCTTGTTAAGATTAATTAATATTTATATCCAACAAGACGTGCTGCTCCACATTGAGCTCACGGTTTCAGATTTTAGCCAGTGGAAGAAAATTTAGTAAAGAAAATCAAAAATCGGACACTATTTGGGAGTGCCTTTGCAAACGTAATTGATCCGTTTTAAATCTGATGGTGTAAAAACAGCATTTTAGTGGAGCTGAAGGCTGTTTAGACGAGGATCGTTCTTCTGGCAAACGCAATAGAAACACAGGGGGCCTAACAGCGGTCCGAGAAAACTCTCCAGGTTCCTGGAAAAGGTTGCTGTAATAAAAAACATGCGTTAAGTTGCTTCTTATTTACCTGTAAATAGTTGACACTGAAATTTCCTCTCAGTACCGCCAGAGGTAGTCCACACTTGTACCACATTTTGTGAGCCGTGACACAAAAGAGCTACTAGGACAGAAGTAGTTTTATTTATTTATTTATTTATTTTATGCCAGAATGTTTTGATCAGTGTTTCTTCTATTAATGTTGTTTTCCTTAGTACTGCAGCTCATCACCTTCCTAAAATTATGACCTGTGTCATTTTTTTTTTTATTTTTTTTTTTTTGCCTTAAGTGATTTTGACAAAAAAAAAAAAAAAAAAAAAAAAAAAAATCACTTTTGGCAGAAAATCACTTCGGTCGTTATTTTAGGAAGGTGACGAAATACTTCATGTCTTGCCCAGTCTAAAATTAATGTTTTGCAGCTCAGTCTTGCAGAGTTCTGATAACAGAGTTCGGGTCCTCCAGTATTACTTTATTGCACTCTATTAAGGTATGGCTCTTTTGCTCAGACGTGCAAGAAGCTTCTGTAGCCTGCTATCACTGGAAAGATAATGACAAGCAGGTACTTTCTGTGTGGCGCCACTCGGATTAAACTATGTTTTGAGATGAGTTTTGAAACTTTTCACAATCTGAGGAGACGGTGGAAATGGCCAAAACAGAAGCTTAAGCCTGAATCAGTTCTGTTGATTTTATGTAAGTCGTGTATAATTTTGAGTTTATACCCAACGTGACAGATTTTGAAGCCAATTAAAAAGAAAAGCGTTACTGCAAGAAGATGAGTTGTGATAAAAGATGACGAGTGAAGGAGGAGGACAGTGAGTGAATGTAACGTTGAGAACTTTAAACGTCGGCCCAGCAACGCATTGAATGTAAAAACCGCGAGGCAAAGAACAAGAAAAGAGTCCTCCTCCTGTCATCTGACTGGAAAACTGTTTCAGTCGAAGCTCGAAATGTACTCGGACATTTGCGCCGCGTTTCTAAGTGCGTATGTGTCGTCTCCTAGAAACTTTGTAGCAAGACAATCAGCAGGCAATAGGGGGTAAGAATGAGGAAGAGAGACGGAATACTGTACATTCTTTTATTTCGCTCCTGCAGCCAACCTGTCTCCTCCCCTCCCTCTCTTCTTGTCAGGAACACAGTTTTGTTTCTTAAGCCCTTGGAATTTGAGTTGTCAATCTGAAAAATGGGGATTACACACCGTCACACACGCCGAAGTGGAATCTCCGATTTTAACTCTGATAAGTGTGCTTCGTCGAAGATGGGAGCCGTTAGGAGGAGCACGGCGTTCGTTTGGTCCAACAGGTTGATTATCTGAGGCGCAGCGTTTTGTGGTGTTTTAAATATTGCCCTGTGCAGAGACCATATTAAAGATGTTTCCCTTAAATAGAAGCTCAAAATCAACTGATAGGACATAACAACTAAAAGTCTCAGCTACAGAAAAAAAGTGACACTTTGGTAAAAGTGTAATAAAAACTAACAGTACAAAACAAAATAGAAATATAGGTGTTTCTGTAAAAGTGTTTGATTGAGAGCTCGAAATGTAAATTTTCCATTTAGTTTGTTAGTAGACTGGTAAAATTGGTGCAAGTTGAGATTTATATGTTTTGTAATTTGACCAGTTTTTGCTGTATCTTTTTATTGGATTTGAAATATGACATAACAAAAAACTTAACTGCGAGCAGGTAGCCCCCCAAACAACTCAACACATGGAGCCGACTAGTCTCTAAACTCCAAATCGATTAAAAATTGAAATTTAGTCATGATTTTAAAGAGTTGACCAATGTAAATATACAAAGAAAAATGTTCCTCGTTTATATTTATAATGTAATGTCACCAGTTTATCTGTGCTTGTCTTTTGTTCCCAGTGTAACTGGGGAACACAATAAACAAGTCAATAAACAAATGCCAGCTGATCCTTCATTCCTGACTGTGTTCCAAAATGTTATTCTCCAAACATTGTTGCCAGGCCAAATGAATAATTATGAGGAATAACATCGTCTCCTTTTTTTTGTTTGTTTGTTTGCTTCCAAGCACTTAAATAGATAAAATAACACATAGTCATGTAAATATCTCTACAAATTTTGTTGCATTCTGATGTAAATTCAAAACTGGACCTGTGTGTGTGTGTGTATTTTTGTGTGTGTGTTCTGTGTGTTGGAGATCTCCTTTCCAACAAAGCGTACTGTAAATAATAGCAAGTTATGGTAATTTAGTGTTTGTCCACTAGAGAGCACTGACAAGTTTTCCATGCAAAGGTAAATCTCCCACATCTCCCACGGCACCAGATATAATTTTTTATTAATATCAGTTTATGTTAACAGCGATCGTCAGCTGATGTGATTGCCGAGATTACAATCGCTCTTTACCGCCGAACACAACCAATAAACTCGTCGTTAATTAACCCGTTCGCGCCCGGAACGAGCTCGTCCTCCTCGGAGCGCCCCTCATTGCCGTCCGCCGTCTGCCGCCCCCACCCCCCTCCCTCTCGTTGCGTTCTCTATCTCTTCCCATCTCTCTAACAGCTGTTGTGTTAAGGTTACAGTATACCTTGTGGAGGGGCCTTCTCTTTCATCTCTCCCAGCGGTTTTATGGCGCTGTGTGAATGTGCAAGGCTTTTTAATTAGGCTCTGCACCCAGACAGGCCCCAAGGCTGAGGCAGCGCCGCTCTGTCTGAAGCTCACACACTCCCTCTCTCCATTCCTTTTTCACTCTGTGTCTCTCGCTCTGTTTTTTTTCCGTCCATCTCCAATGTGTCATCTCCTGTAATCTCTCCGTTTTTTTTTCTCTTTCTCTTTTTGTACAGTGCTATTTCGCACCATGCCACTCAAACACTCGTCCACAGATATCTTCTTATTTTCTCTCGCCCCCCTCCCTCTCTTTCAGCACAACAAACCGCTGTACTCTTTTGAGGACAATGCCGACTATGTGTATGACGTCATGTGGTCGCCCGTGCATCCTGCCATGTTCGCCGCCGTGGACGGCATGGGCCGCCTGGACCTGTGGAACCTCAACAACGACACCGAGGTGTGTGGATTTGGGTCATGGTGGGCGTGTTTTCTGGGTCGTCTTGTTCTCTGTCAATATGCGTGCCTGTTTTGGTGTCCTCCGGGTCTGTTGCTGGTGCTCAGCCCGAACCGCACAACCCAATACCCAAAGCTCTCTTCTTCACACACACACACACACACACACACACACACACACACACACACACACACACACACACGAGATTCAAGACTCCCCTGTAGGCGTTTCCCACAGCTCTCGCTTTAAATCTGACTGGGTGACATCTTCTCGCTCTGGCTCCCACCCAGCCACCCCGCTAACATTTCTACAACCTCTGCCTAACGTTCAGACGACCTCAGAGACCGTCTTCCTCCCAAACTGCGTCCCGTCAGAGGAGCGCACAGATGTGTCGGCGACCGCAAGCAGAGAGCCCCAGCCCTCAGTCCACAGTCCCATGAAAAATAATGATTAAAAAAAAAAAAAAAAAAAGAAAGTTCAGGCCAGTAAGGGTTGAGTTTTGAAATGCTGTGGCGTGACAGTTATTTTTGAGATGAGTGCATTTAAGGCCATCTGGGTGCTGGAATTCGACATAATCATGTGTAGTATTAAGCAAAAAAATAAAATAAAAGGAGTGTATAATGTCTACTATTGTGAGCAGATAGTTCTCAATCCTATAATTGGGTTCCTTCATTTCATTTGTCATTAAACATGTATTTCTGCTAGGGTTTTTGATTAAATTATGTTTGCTTAATCCAGACCTTTTCACACAAACGCTGAACATTTTGAGAAATTCTACCTTTGACTTAATTATATCGATTCATTAAGGAAAACATGTTATATCTCTTAAGGACATAATTGTATTTTCTTAACAGAATCATTACATTTACTGGAACAGTTGTCTTTATTTTGAAATAAAGACAAAAACATGTATTTTACATAAATCTCTTTATTAAAGGGTGTCTTTTTTGTCTTTATTTTTAAAATAAGACAACTGAAACATTTCATTCTGAATTATACTGCTTTAAGTTGCTATGTTGGTCCGTGTATTCAAATATCCAATTATTAACCCATAACTTTTCAAACAGAAAACAAATATGAAATTTGTAAATATGTGGAAAAGCACTTCCTACCCACTGTTAAGTACTGTTGTTATTATCCCATTGGATAATAACAATGGGATTGTTATTATCCCATTGTTAGAGTGCAGTCTGTCATGATATGTTTGAAATACCAAATTAAAGAAATCTGAGGGGCCCAGTTGTTGTAATTACTTATTTGTGGCCCAAAGCATACACAAAAATGCTTCATCAAACACAAAATTGACCTTGTCGTTTAAGTGTTTTGATTTAAATCTGCAAAACGTAGCCTTGATGACCTGGACAGCTTATGCGAGGAGGAATAATCAATGATTTGTCTGGTTAAAACATCAGGAAATGCTACCGAGGAAGTCTATTTCCAACTGGAGATTGTGCAAAATAATTGTCATTTTTCTTTACGTTTAGATTTTGCCCTTCTGAAAAAATGTACAGAAAAAGTGTTTGGTTCTTCCTGAAATGTTATGCTCCAAAACACAAGATTTATTTACTTTAAGGTTTTGTATCACAAGTGGCAGTAAATGTGGTCAACACTGTTTGTACGTGCATACATAAAGTTTATCTTTTACAGACTAGTGAACCTCTAGGGTACAACTTCTTCTTCACACAATTCGAGCTTGGTAGGGAGTGAACTTGAATAGACCATTGTCTCTTTCGGAAAAAACAAACAAACAAATCAAAACAAGCTTTGTCTCCTTGCTGGAACTTTATGTTCTGTGGACTATACTACAAGTTATTTTCATCACACTTATTATAAATCAAAAAATGTAACTTCAACCACGATTCTGTAAAAAACCTTTCTGTCTCTCAACCCTGTCAGCAGACAACCTTTGATCATTCAGGTAAAAGTCCAGATAAAAGGATCCTCCATTCTCCTTCCTCCTTGGTTTCCATGGACACACCAGTGACTTCAACCTTAATGCAAGTCTGCGTCAAGACAGATGCTCTCACTCCTCTCAAATAATGAGCTCTCCCTCTTTTCCCATTTTCTCTACCGTACAAGACCCTCGTGTCGTCTCACTTCAGCTCCCATCTCTGCGTAGTTTCTTGCCTTCACGCGCGCCGCTGTGGTTAGCAGCGGCTCCTCTATCTGCGGCGCATATTCCCATGGTTTCCTCAACAGCAGCCTTTTCACAGACAAAGGAAGAGTTCATTATCGGGGGCTTAACTTGCCTAACAATGTGCTTTATGAGAAACATTTGCACAGACGAGCGCTCACGCAAACGGATGCATCGGACGCACGCACGCTCACTCACACACTAGCCAGTCTGATAGCAACAGGCTTTCATTGTTGCCATCATATTAAAAACACAGAGTCATAACAACATTAACAGAGCAGCGTAGCGCGCCTGGTTCTCATTTCCACCACACACACAAGCAGACACACGCAGTTTTAAAGCTCTCCGTTCAGATCCACTCTTGCGGAGGAAGGGAAGCTAGTGGGCTAATGGCAGTCAGTCTGTGGTTAGCTCTGCTTTAAATGCGCAGGAGCTCGGTGTGCGAGGAGACGCGATGCCAAGGCCTCTGTCTCCACTGGTGACATGTGTCAGACTCGCCTGCCACATGTCAGGAACAGTTTATGGAAACGCTGCAGATGGTTTTGGGTTTTCAAAGGTGCAACATGAGCACTAAAAGACAGAAATCAAGATTCGGCTCAGCCCCCGCCAGCAAACGCGTACGGGTTGTTTCCAGAGTAAGTCGGGCTCGCGTGTGTCCGATCGAATAAAAAAAAAGCCGTAAATGTGACAGCTTTGTATTCGTAACCTCCAGCACGTCCAGATGAAGCCACCCTGTTCTTGTGGTAAATTTGCTCTGTAATCACATAATGTAATGTTGCAATTTTTCAATAAACATTAGGACACGTTGCAATTAGGGTCACTAAATAAAATGCGGTAAGGTTTCGGGAGGCCTGTCATGGTACGTGGCTGTTTATTACTCTATTTTGTCTTCAGAAGAAAAGAAGCCTACTGTGAATAGTCTCGCCATTAAAGAGGGAATCCTTTGCAGCGGCACTGCCATGAAGTAATAACAAAAAAAATAAGGCAACGTTAATAAACTTTTACTGTTAGCAAATGTTTCATTGTGGAAGGTAGTATCTAATTAGTAGTTTTACTTTTCTTGTTTGAACTATTATTTTGCTGATGGTTCCGTCAGACCGCCAATAAGTGCCGAGTTTAAAATTGAAATTAAAACTGAATGATAAAAACTGATGAAGAGACATATTGTGACTCGGTGGCAAACAGATGGATATTTAAATACTTATTATCATTCCTCCTGCCCTTCCCTGTGTCCTTCCTTCCTTTTTTCCTTCCTCCCATTTTTTCTTTATTGTGTTCTTCCTTCCTCCCTCCTTTCATCTCCGCCCTTCTTCCCTTCCTTTCTGTATGTCCCCTGTCGTTATAAATCTTTTTGTTTCTTGTTTCCCTCCTTGTGTCCTTCCTTTCTTCCTAATATCAGTCCGTATGTCTCTCTGTCCTCTCTGGCTTCCCTCCTTCCGGTCTGTGGGTTTTCCAGGCTCCACATTTGAGACACACCTACTGCAGAAATATTTATCATATTAGTTAAATTAGCAAAAAGAACTCACGACTCAATAAAGTTGAGCCTGGAAAGTGTGAACTTGCACACTGAAACATGTAAGAACCTTTACTCTGTTCCCTATCACAGCATAACTGTCTTTCTACAAAGTGGCTAACACTAAAATATTAGCACATTCGGTTTGGTCCTCAGCTAAACCAGGCAGCCATAGATGCCGTTGCCATGTTGAGAAAATGTCTGGCGTGAATTGTGACGCGGAAACCTGCTCCGCAACATATTTTGTAAATGTAGTTGTGACACGTTATCATCTAATTTCGTGCTACAGCATGCAGACGCTTTGTCAGCACTGATGAAGATTCCGTCACCTCAGCATGTTTAATGCTTGAATTAGTTTGAACATACAGAAGTCTGGCCGGTTTTCTGATTAATTCATTTTTTGAACAGTTTGTGACAAACTCAGTGAGGTGCAATGACGTTTTAGCCTCAGATGGTTAATTGACAACTAAGTCTGAAAAAAAAAGACAAAGTGATTTCTTGCACCAGCAGCACCCAGTACTTTTTACAGCAATCATCCCGATATACTCACACTATGCAAAATGGAGGCACATCTGTGTCACAAAATACTTTCTTGACAGTTAGATCTATGTGTAGAGGTCATATCTGGTTATTGTCTTGTGTTACAATGAACATTTTTTGGTTGTGAAGATCTTTCACCTGCACAAAACTCGCAAAGCTTCTTCTGACGGGAGAATATCACTTCACTGGAAAAGGAAACAACAGGTAAATATAATGTTTTTTCATCATGAATTTATTGTATTGTTTTTTTTTTTCCCTCCTAGGTGCCAACTGCCAGTGTGACCATTGAGGGAGCTTCGGCTCTGAACAGGGTTCGCTGGTCGTCGGGAGGGAAGGAGGTGGCCGTGGGCGACTCAGAGGGCAGAGTTTGGATCTACGATGCAGGAGAGGTACATAGAACAACCATGGAGAGGTTCTGCTGCTGGGGCACAAAATAGTCCTGCTGAGGTTTTCCTTTGCTGTTGTGAACAAAAAGTACATCCTGAAAATTTTCCACTTTTGGTTAAATACATTAATATTTACTGTGTTTCTTTTTTTTTTTTTGCTGAGGGTTCACGTTACATTCACATCGACTCCTATGATGCATGGCTGAGAGGCTCTCACGAGTTTCATTTCCAATCAGGTCCTAATTACAACAGAGGTGCAAAAAGCATGAGGAAACTAGAATAAAAACAACAAAAATTGCAGTACTGTATTAATACAGCTGGACAGGAGCAGATAGAGAGATTTTTAATACCAGTAATTTGACCAAATAGTGTTTGTAAAATAAATATCGGGTCTCGGTTCATCATGGATGTCTATGTCTGTGTCATTGTTTTTAAAATAGCGCAAAGCACGTGGAACTGAATCTTACTCTCTGAATTTTTGGCAACGTTTTACTTACTTATCAGGAACAAGTCCGAGTTTTTACAAAACCATTTTCGGCTTCGCACTGCTGTATGCAACATTTTATTTAATGCTTCTTGAAAGCGCTCCCATCACAACGCAGCCAGCTAGCCATTCAGCCCCAGCCGACGTGCTTTAATGCTTGAAGATGTTTTTAGCTTAGCTGCTCAGCTAAGTTTAGCATCTTTTTTGTGTGGTAAGCTAGAGGGGAGTCGAGCAGAGCTGGTGGCCTCAGTGCTGGGTTGATGGTAATGAAGAGGCCTCAATAAAACTGAGTGAAGCTGAAAGGCTTTATGGGTCCTTTAGGCAGGGCTTTGTGTGTGCGTGTGTGTGTGTGTGTGTGTGTGTGTGTGTGTGTAATAATGGGGTATTTACTGTAAACTTGCCCATGTAGCTAAAACTGGGAAGAGAGTATTTTTTTTTTCTTAAAGAAAAGAAAAAAGAAGTATCTCTGGGAATAACAGCAAGTCTGGAGACTTTTCCAGGAAGGACAAAATACCAACAATTTCCATTTCAGTTTCGTTTTACTCTAAGCATTTTATTTTAAGCATATTTACCATCGGGGTTATCTATTAAAACTTTACAAGTGTTGCCCTGTGTGGAAAATCCGAATCACAGGATAAAACTCAGTCCCTGTTGTCTTGTACATTTCAGAGTAATGAAACTCCTGATTTTCAAACCTAGGCGTCATTAGGAACAAGCCTCTTGTAGTCGTTCTGCTACTGCTTACGCCGCTCATCAGCGCTACGTTTGCCCCCCTCTGCCCCCCTCCCCCCACTTCTCCTCCGTGACTGTGGCCAGGTTTCTGATTAATTACAGCCTAGCCATGCGAATGGCTTGCAGACATCTTGGGTGGTGGCTGCGGCTTTTGTCCCACTCCTTCTCGAGTCCCGACTGTGCTCAGCTAAGGAGAGGAACGACGTTCGGTTTGACCCCGACGGTCTGTGCAGCTCGTGTGACGGATTTTCCATCCTGACGACGCGGCTCCAACACTCGACAGATCGTTGGATGTGTTCTCGCTGGCAAACTGGTGGTCTGTCATAAAATATACACCAATCAAATTAGCATGATTATGTTTCATTTTTCTTTGGTAGTAATTGAATGTTTTCACTGTTAGGAATTGGAAGAATTGCTGCTAAACCCTGAATAATAATAATCATTATAATTTAAACCGAACTGTTAATTTGGATGCTTTTAACAAAACAAAACTAAATTTTTTCTTTCATAACGTCCCCTCTAATTGGTGAATTAGGCATTTCTGGTAATTTAGTTCAGTTCAATTAAAAAATATTCCCAAAGGGAAATGAAATGTAACTCGCATTATTCATATCTCTTCTAAGAGTTGTTTTATCGCTGTGAGCAGAAAGGATCTCCTGTAGTGGCCTGTATTACTGTGGTTCTGAAGAGGTCCCTGTCTGAGGAGAATTGTTTTTTGTTGTGCAAAAGTATGACGAAGAGGAAGCTGTGTGTAATGTTTTATTTGATTTGCACAGTCATATTCAGAGGAACAAAACCAGCCCCCTTTATGAGCTTGTTTAGTCTTTTTTTTTAAGTCTTTCGTTTTGATGCTGCTTCTGTTGGGATTGCAAAAGAGATTAACAGATTTATACTGATGCACCTGTATCACTTTTAAAACTTGTTTTACACAAAAACATTTCAAAGCATTTTGCATTTTCACTGTGCATTTCACACACAATCAACATGTGACACATTACTGCTTTGCTAGTGCTTGTATTTCTTACTGTGTCCTTCAACAATAATGCAATTTTCACTGAAATTAAGAGTTCTTATGAAACTGAAACCA